TCCCAGCCTCGGAGGAGCGCCAATTAGGCGGAAAGGGGCCGAGGTCTCCCGGCCTGGGAGAAGCAGCGATCAGGCAGAAAGGGGCGCTGATCCTGATGCTTCCCCTGAGCTCTCCCGGTCTAGGACAAGCACCGATCAGGCAGAAAGGAGCGCTGATCCTGGTGCTTCCCCTGAGCCTTGCCAGCAGGACACGTGCCTCTCGGTGTGGTATGGTTTTTAACATTTCGCTCGAAGCAGGGATGGAAAAAGAGGGAAGAGCCCCGCTCGTCACGAACTGAGAGCAGATGGTTATTGGCATCACGGCTCAAGGCGCATGACGAGGGAAAGAATATGAGTAACACCGCGCGCACAGCGCTTGTCTTCCATCACATTTTATTCATGTCAATCTTTTTTTTCCTTCATAATATTGGGAGATGAAAATAGCGACTCTACACAAACGCACACACAAACACGCAGGCGGGCACGCCCCCTCTCCTCATTCAGTTCCTTTCCTTGGCTTGTCCACTGCCGTTCCTGAGGCGGCGGTGGTAGCTTTGGCAGTGTCTCAGTTCCTAAGACCCCTGTGAAAGGGTCGTTCGACCCCCAAAGGGGTCATGACCCACAGGTTGAGAACTGCTGCTCTAGATCAATGTTTCTCAACTTCAGCAAGTTTAAGATGTGTAGACTTTAATTTCCAGAATTCCACAGCCAGTTCAGATCTAGACTAATGCACCCTGCTGAGGAATCAAAGCAATGTTTGCTAGTCCTCTACATTCTCATCAATAAAAATAGGAGAGGGCAGAGCTGAAATGTGTGAAGAACAAGGAAACAACCAACACACAACTTTTCTGTTTCCCTACAGTTCTGCTTCTGATTTTAAAAGAAACATCTTTTTCTTACCCCAAGAAAGAGATGAGCTAAGGCATCTGCCTTTGCTTTCTGTGACAGTATTCATGCCTTCACCAAGTATGTTTCTGGTTGAGATGAATGAATATGTATCCCCACTCTGGGAAGCCAGTTATCATTCTGTAGGGAACCTTTGGAAGTGACGTTGGAGAAGGCATCCAAAAGCTATTAGGACAACAACTGGTACTGAGAAATGTGCTAAGCCCATGGAAATGGAAAAAAATGTTAAGAGAAAAAAAAATACTGATTGGCTCCTCCTTGACTCCCTGGGCCAGGGGTAGGCAACCTCAGCTCTTTTATAACTCATGGACTTCAACTCCCAGAATTCCTGAGTCAGCTATGCCCTGCCCTGGGCTATAGGAGGAGGAAGGGAAGGAAAAATTTAGACAGTATAATCCTTCTTGTGGAGTCTTATTTCTCTTTAACTATTCTACCTCATGGTGCTCTTACACTCTTATAAACTCAGGCTGTCATGACTAGAAACTTGAAAACTGCCTTCATCTCCAACCATTACAAATGTTTGGCTACTTGAGAAAACAAATCTCCAAGATGCCAACTCTTAGTGCACTTCCCATGTTGTAAATTTTATAGCCAATTGCTCTCAGTAGTTTTAAATAGAGGAGCTTGAGTTGAGAAAAGCCAAGGAAGAAGTTGGCATACTGACACTTTTTGATGTATCATGGGCAGAGAAACCTTATTAGTGCACCTGGATGAAATTTGGTCCATGTTATGAAACATGAGATTTGGAAGTTTGGCCGACATAAGAAATGCCCACCACTTTTACCTGGATATTTAAATGCTGAATTGCAATGTGGTGGTTTTCTTTGAAGGCAATGGCATTAGACTGATCTTGATATCTATGCATACTCCTTAATGAAAAGTGAGTCAACTAGCATGAGCAAGCTTTTGGTTGCTATATCGAAACCCCCCAGTCCTGGATCCAACTCAGGGTTACTGTCAAGTCTGAGCTTGCAACTTTTATGTAACAAAGGAAGTTGGATGAAAAGGGACAGTTCTGAATTTAACTGTTACCTCTGAAAAATTTCCTTTGTACATGGTCACCTGGTACATAAAGATATGGATCTGTCAAATTTATAGAAGTCATGTTTGCAGGTTGTATGGTAGTGATTTGACCAAATGTGTGATACACCACAATGTATTGATTTAAATCTATGACTGACTATTTTTGGAAATTACAAAAACTATGGAATAAACCCCTGAAAATTTTATTGCAGAAAAAGTAATAACTATGCCTAAAGATGCTTGATGCTTGGTTTCCCTTCACAAGGGATGAGGGCAGGTGAAAAATGTTACTTGAGAGGTTGAACTAAGCACTCGGGTTGGAATATGAGACCATCCTCTCCTCACTAAAACACGGTGTCATAAATTTAGTTTTCTTGATTTGGAAAATGGAGAAAAATAATCCAGGTAATTCTGAGATGAGATTTAGTGCTGCGGAATTTAGAATTAAACAAAGTTGGCTTGGGAAACATAATTTCTGGTCTCAATAAAACATCCCTCCCCCCTCCCCCGGGCAACAATATAATTAGCAGGACTTCTGCTCCTTTTTGATCTGAAGTATCCACCAAGCAGGGTGGGTGCCTATGGCAACAACTTATTGACTTCAACTTCCAGAATGCCTGAATCATCAATTTGGAAATCTCTTTTGGCTATCCAGAGATCATTGCCTTTGAAGAAGTGACACAAAATGACTCCAAAGATGGGCATGGCAATATTCAACCTGAATCTCTGGATTATTCCTTCTTCCTATCAGATTGGAAGACATTAGATTTATAGTAGATACTGTAGATTAGCAAGTCCAGTTTAGTCTAAATATTGTATTCTGATCCATTAAGAAATGTTTGAATTTGCATTCATTTTACTTTAAAATCTGTTTTTTGTTTTTGCATTAAAATTTTGAGGATTCTCCTTGTGTTTATATCAGCCAGATACATCTTTTAACAACCCTATTGAGCATTTTTTTCTTATCTGCAAGTATATTTCACAAGGGTGTGGCTGTGGGGCAAAATGACAGGAGAGAATGTTATATATGTTGTCTCAAGTTGCTGAAAGTGAGATACAAGTCTAACAAACACATAGTGTGCCATTTTAGGGGCAGAGGTGGGAGATAGAACAGTTAAGTGGAAGCTATAAATTACTTATTAGCTTTGAAATGGTGGTGACTGCCCTCTGGTGGCCCTTAAAGATCCAGCTGCATTGGATAGCAATAATGCTGGAATCTCAAAAGGAAAAAAGTTACAATACATCCTTGCTTCCCAAAAGGCAGGAGACTTTGGAATGATGCCATCCTCTAATAGCAAATTGGAATTCTTCCAATTCTGAGGTGTGCCCTGAATAAATAGTTCTGGGTTGAACTGGGGAGGTTTTGGTATAGTTGATCCTTGAGCTAGTTCAACCTTGAGCTGCATATATTCTTTTCTGTTGGCAAATATAGATTTTTGGCTTCCAATGATTCTTCTTTCCAGTATCAAATATATTGTTTTGATTGTACAAAATCTTCTGATCAGGATACCTTAGATCAGGGCTTTTCAACCTTTTCACCCATTGTACCACTTTTAAGATATGGCAATATCTGAATACCACCAGTCGCCTAGCATTGTGTCAAAAACTTGACCCCCCCCCCAAAAAAGTGAAGTACTGGTAGTCCTTGACTTACAACAGTTCGCTTAGTGACTGTTTGAAGTTACAATGGCACTGAAAAAAGTGCCAAGCAAAACACCTGCCTGCCCACCCGGCAGCGCTCTTCCTCCTGTCCGAGGTTTTTATTGGTATGAGCATTTCTGTTGAGGATTGGCAGCAGGGGTGGGGTGGGAGGTGTTTGGTTTTTATTCCCGTCTGCTGAGTGGTTGCATCAGGTTTTGGTCACTTCACATGACCCTGGGACACTGTGACCGTCATAAATATGAATCAGTTGCCAAGCATCTGAATGTAAATCACAAGACCCTGGAGATGCTGCAACATTCCAGCTGATCGGCGCTTCTTCTGGGCTCAAAAGCGCCAGGATCAACGCTGAACTCCAACTGGAGCCTGGCGCTGATCCTGGAGCTTCCATTGAGCCCTGACAGTCCTGAAGGAGTGCTGATCCTGGTGCTTCTGCTGAGCCCTGACAGCCCTGCAACTCCAGCCATCTCTCGCTCAGGCTTGTGCGCTGCTGCCCCCGGTTCAGCTCATTCCCCTCCCCCACTACCATTTTTCTAGGATGGTCGCGTACCACCTGCCAGGTGCCAATGTACCACAGGTGGTACTCGTACCACATTATAGATGTTATAATGGCTGTTAAGTGGAATATGTCTGTCTTCCACAGACCAATTCATAGAAAAGTTAAAAGTTTTTTATTTAAATAAGACAGGAAGAAACAAAAACAAAAGTATGAGGTTTGAACAAATCTGATAAAAGAAAATATTAATGTGTGTGCAGAAAGCCAAACTTTATTATACCCTGGGTGAAAACTGGTTAATGGGAGCAACAGTAAAATCTTGGTCAACTATTTCATGCCTTACATTGTGATGAGAAATTATCCATTCATGCAATACGTGAGCTGGCAACCTAAAGTGTCATTATCTTCCTGCATCCTTATAAATAAACTGGGATGATACTGCAAGCCCTAGCCAGTCAATGCTACCTGGATACAGGATGGTTGTTTTGGAGACATGGATTGCCCTTCAGCACAGAAAGGCGAACAAATATTACAGTCACACATTTGTACTGTTAGACAAAACATAGGAACAGCCACTTTTTTAAATTTTTTAGAGATAAAATATTATTAGGTTAACCTCCTACACAACTCACTTTAGCTTCAAAATTATTTATGATCACATTAAGTATATGCTCCTGGATTACTACTGGCCATCAGTTTTTAAGGTTTTAGGATTATCTGTGCAGTCTGTTCCATAAATCTGCAAAAACACGTACCAATTTTGATACTAGCTGTGGAGCACAGTAGGGACTTTCTTTCACTGTTCTATAAGGACAGCTTCTAGTGTATTCATGTACATTAGCAGATTTTTGCCATGCAATTAATCACTAATCCACATTTGTATATCCTTTTACCCCTCTGATTGTACTTTGGTTAAACAAGAGATATAAACTTCAAAGTAAGTAAAAAATGTTTATTATGCCACCATTTCAATGCATATTACACAGGTTTTGATCTTCAAAATACCCTAGAAACTGAAAAAATTGAAGAATTTAGATAACAGAAATCCTTCTGCAAAATTCAGACTAAACACATGCGAAAGACATACTCTTCTCAAAACACAATTCTGAACAAAGCACCAACTACACAAATATGCAGAATGGTACAACACTTTAAAACTTCACCAAAATATTCTCCATAAAAGGTGTAAAAGTCACCTAATTCACTAGGCACCATTCAACTGAACAAAAATAACAAGTATGCAATCACACTGCGGTGTTTGCAGCTATAAAGTCTTCATTTTTTCACTTCAATAGCGACCTGCAATGCCAAAAGAAAGAAACCAGTTAGAATTTTGAATCTCTGCAAACCTGTCAAAAGACATTGTTAGAAACTATACTATTTGGAGAAATAATACAGAATACTATTGGACAACTATTGGAGGCATTTTCCCCTTATTCATAGATTCAGATTTCCTCTCTTATTTGCAAAATGTGCTAATAAAGGGGAAGTCACAATTTCTGTCAATTTACCCATAAATTGCTGTGCAATTTTCCACTATTTTGTAAATGTTTTGGTAATATAGAGAATGTGTATGCAGAAATGATACAATGCAAGCAGACTTTGAACCATGCCTGCATATTCAAAAGCGAAATGGGTTTATGCAGTTTTAACTTAGTCCTTCAATCCAATAACAATATTAATTTCTATTTGGATCAAAAGGGTCTCTTTAAAATATTACTTTTTAATGAAGTTAATGACTAATTTTAAAATGAATCTAAAATTAATCCAGAAAAGAGACCTTGTTGGTGTGTTATTCCAACATATTCTATTTATTGAGATAACATTTATATCAAGAATATAGGTCTAAAATTTTCACAAAGTCACCTAGGAACCCTTGAGGAACAAGAATAAGTACAACTACACATGCATATATACCAATGAGGTTCATGGTAAAAGCTAATTAATTTAAGATATTTTCTTTCCAAAACAATGTTTTGTATCAAAGTGAAGACAATTGAGAATAGGAGGTTCAGTTTAAAATCAGACAAATACTTGGCAGTATTTGTTCTTTTTTTAAGTAAAAAACACAACTATTATTTTTTTTTAATAACAGGACCAGGAAAAAATTATACTTACTAAAAATATTAGATTACCACACTGTCCACTGAAGGAGAAATGCAAAGTTTTCCCCCAATTATGTTATGAGGATTTGTTCTGCAAAAAACAGCCTCCAACTAGTAAAACTACTGCTTTATTTCATTTGGATACAACTGAATTAATTCAAACCTTTGATAAACATTATTTTCGTTAACTGAAGATAATGGAGATAATGAAATGAACAGTGGACAAATGAGTTTAGTGACTCGGTATCCTAGAAATACTTTGCAAAACATGTTAGGGCAACACTGCTTATCAAAAGATTAAAGCAGGTAGACTTCCGATTTGCGTCGCAGCGAGACAGGACGCAAGAAGGCAGAGCCCTGCCTTCTGCGCCTGATTTCGCCCTACTGGGGGCCCTAAAATCCATTCGATACAAGGGAAACCCTCCAAATTGGCAGGGGAAAGACCGGCTATATTCCTGTGGCTGGCCATTATCTGCTGAGAACCAAAGAAAAAAGCACTACTTAATACATCGTAAACAGCATGTTTGGAACTGGGTGAGAATATTGATCCTTTCTTTACTATTTTACAACTGAATTTCCTGAGAAAGGTTCCCAAGAAGCTAAAAACCTCCATGGGGGACAGAAGCATATAATATTGAAGTGGAAGTAATATAACACTAGTTTTAATAAATTTGAGAACTGAGATAATTGTTAAGATTTTCTCTTTGAAAAAAAAAACACATTGAGGTGAAATATAAGAAATAAATCGTTTGTTTTAAGAGTGAGAAATGGACCTTGAATGACATCTAGTGGTGGATTTGTGCATAGCACTATAATTTGCCTCCTGCCTGCTTGGTGATTCCTAGCTTGGGAGAATAGCTGGCAATAAAGGAAAATATTTTGGCATACTTATTACCCTGACCTTCTTGGATTATAAATACTTACTAAGCTTGGACTCTTAACTTCAAGAGCTAGTGGGAGAGAAAGAAAAATTGGACCTTGGACTATGCCTGGCTGGGAGAGACTTTTGAGCTGTTTTCTGAGAGGTTGAACATTTTGAACACTTCGAACATTGTGGATTACTTTGCCTGATTGACAATTTTTGGATACTTGAGACAAAGGATTATTATAGAATATTGCTTTCAGAACTGAACCTATACTTTGGAGTCTATTGGATTATAAAGGATACATATAAAAACTTTGATCTACTCTTACTGAGTATGGTGATACTAGAGGATCTCCAGGAATGATGCTCAAGAAAAAACAAACACCTTTCAGAAAGAAATATATTCTATGCTACAACTAATTCACCAAACAATTGTTGAATGCAAAGAGGACATAAAAAGAAATCATGAGACTGAAAACAATTTAGACAATATAAACAAGCAAATCTCCAAATTAAATCTACAACTAGAAAGTTCCCAGAAAACGACTAAGTATGAACAATCCAGAAAGATGGAAGAGATAAAAGAAGGGAAATATAAACAACTATATACAAACAAAATACTGCAAGACTTAGCTATAACAATGAAAATTCAAAAGATTTGATGGCAAGGAAGATTTTAAAAAAGAGATTATAGAGCTGTTAAGGCAGTGGTTCTCAACCTGTGGGTCGGGACCCCATTTGGGGTCGAACAACCATTTCATGGGGGTCGCCAAACAAGGCTGTCTGCCATTTTTTCCCCCTTTTCTTTGGCCACGCCCCTGGCACCCAGTGATGTATAAGTGGTTGGGGGTCACCACAACATGGGGAACTGTATTATGGGGTCATGGCATTAGAAAGGTTGAGAACCACTGTGTTAAGGGAAATGTCACAACTTGGGAGACGGAATGAAAAGAGGCATGGAGGGAGAAAGGAACTGGGAGTTGTTTAAAGAATATAAATGGGCAGAATTCCCCCCCCCCAAAATACCCTACTTAAATTGTCTTCCTCGTGCCAAACCATTTTTACAAAAATAGAAAGAAAATTCTTGGGCAATCTAATGGCTTGGAAAACGACTTGGCAAAGAAAGAAAACTAGAGTCAGATTTAAAAAAACAGATTTGACCTTTTAGAGTTGGAGCATTATATGTTTAAATACTTATTTGAATAAGATTAAAAGAACGGATGACCTTAGATATAATTAGATTTTTATAATGAAAGATGATTTAGAATTAAGATAGCATTTTTTTCTTTTTTTGATATGGGAAATATGGATAAGAGGATTGATTTAAATAAAACTTTTAGCTATATAAATGTAATTAATATTGAGAAAAATCATAACTGATAAAGTTATTTCAAATACTGATGGGAAATCAAACTTTAACAAGAACACGAAAAACAGGATATGGATTAATGGTTTAATTCTTTGCTTGTAATACTATTCTTCGTAAAGCATAACTTTCAAATGTTTTGCACAACTCTTACTTCAAAGAGTTTATTATAGGTTTATAGCAAAATATTTATATACTGCTATGGTCCACATTAACTCTACCGGCCTGTAATGGCAAAACTATATTCAGCTGAATGTGTTACTTACGAGGTGAGTAGGATCGAGACCGGGAACGGGATCTATAACCCCCTCGACTATAATATGGAGATGGTGATCTTCTCCTGCACAAAAAATGTGACAGTGATGATGTGCATATGGATATACCCACTAACTTGCACTGCAACAAATAACCTTGGTAGCTACACATATCAAGGATAGTACACAAGAATACTGAATCATCATGGATGCTTCAAATCTACTAGTTTGTGTACTACTAAAACTCTCGTCATGACTTTTAACTGGGTGAAATGGTACATCACAGGGCAACAATTTTTGAACCCAGGTATCTCAAATATTTAACTTACAGAATGCACCCAAAGTCTGGGACCCATGATTCCTGAGGTAATGAAATTTGGAAAAGTTGTGACTGCTCCAGTGCTGGCTGCTATCATGTGTTGTCCATTTTCAATGTTCCATGACAGTTTCCCAGTCAGTTTCACAATCCTTTGCTCCCTCTCCCACCTAGCAGCAGCCACTTAGCCCCTCCTAAGGAAGGAAATTGCATTTCCAATGGTCCCTGCCAGATTTCCACAAATAAACTCAATAGGATAGCTATCAGGAAGTTGAAAGTCGCTCCTGCTCCCATTGCTTTTTTGTGCACCCTTGGTCATTCTTTTTCTGTTTAAGTAAGAAAATACATTCTGGAAAGATAACCCAAAGGAGCACGGGTTGTCTAGTTATTATTAAATACCACTATTTTTACAATCTGCTTAGTAATATTGTGCAGTAGACATCAAATCAGGTAAGCCAGGAAGAAAGTTAGAAGGTTAACCTTAGAGCTAGTTTTTAGCCCAAGCAGTAATGTTATTGCTATTGCATCTGAATTAATGTTACTTGAGTAACATATAAATGAACTACAACTGGAAATTAGAAATGATAAGATTGCTCAATATAATACATTTTAATTTTAAATGTGGCAGAACTGTGTTTTGTAGTATAATATGTAATAATGATCTGCCTCCACTTAATATAGCTAGATCAAAATATTTACTTGGAAAATAGGTAAAACAGTCCTCCACCAATGTTGGCTTTGAGGATACCCCCCCATATAGATTTTTACCACTGTCCAAAAGAGATTCCCGTTTCACCATTGCTTGCATGTACATACCTGTACATCTGATCCCTATCTTGGGCAGCTCGCCATCCTCCTCCACCTCCACCTCCTCTGTGAAAGAATAGCAGAATATTTTAAAAAACCTTTGTTAAAACAACAGCATCAGAAACAACTCATAACCTGATCTTCCATGAAACTGCCAAGTCTCCTTTTAAAAGCCCTGGCCATAGTATTTTAAGGGGAGAAAAACTCTGCTCTATTTAATTTTTCTACACCAGGCCTGATTTTACTAGTAATCCTCCCTTAACTGTTCATCCAAAATTAAAATGGCATGAATAAATAGTGGTTACAGCTGGTCCTTGAAGTTACGACTTTGCACAGCAACCCCATGATTATGATCAAAATCTGGGTGCTTGGCAGCCTGCCTACATTTATGACTGCACTACACACTTCAACACTCCCACCTATCCCCCTCCCCCATCTCTGTCAGTTTGGTCTCTCTGCACTTCATTCCACCTACATCTATTTTCCTTAGCTGATTTGCCATCTCCTTCCTCTCATTGCTGACAAGGCAGTTGTTGGTCTCTTGTGACAGGACAGGAGAGGTGTGAGGTTCCCCCTAACAACTGCAACCAGGATTAATAGAACTGCCATTGCTAAGCGGTGCAATCACCTAATGACTGGTTCGGTTAGCTACAAAAATTCCAATCCTGATTATGATTGTTACGTGAAAACTACCTATATTCACTTTGTGTCTTTAGTTGCCTTTTTTCTAAGCTAAAAAATCCCAACCATTGTAGCCTTTCCTTATAAAAATTATGTTGGAGCATTCTATTATTTGGACATATTTAGACTTGTAACTTATTTTTGAATACTCATTAATATATAGCTGAAAAATTCAGTCATAGTATCCAAGAGCTGGCTTTTATCAAAACCCTTGCAAACAGAAAATCAATTCTGTTTAGATTTATAGGGCTGTTCATTTCAAGCACCACGGAAAGCTTACAATATTAAAAATTATAAAAGCATATAGAAAAAAAGTATTTCCTTGGCAGTAACTACTGTTTTAGTGTGACTATTCTATCTGTCTGAACATAAGCCATAGTTTGGTATATACACCCTCACACAATAACCAAATATAAGCAATACTTTTATATTTCGACAATCAATTGTTCGTGAGTTATCAGTACAAATGATAAATAAGCAGTTTTAAGCACTGTTTAGTCTTGGTTCAGGCCGGGACACACTAGAAAGATGGTACTGTAGATGACTTAGCATGGAGCTATGCAAACCATCCTGGTTCTCCTAGATTTCTTAGCATGGCAATAGTATCTTGGAATTGGGAGATGCTGTAGTGGTTGTTCTCCTTCTGTGTCTAGTTTTCAGTCATGTGTTGAGTGGGAGAAACCTAGCCCTAAGTCTCTGCGCATGGGGTGCCTTAAGGCTTGGTCTCCCACTGTTCTCTTTAACATTTACATGGAACTACTGGATAAGATCATTTGACAGCACGGGGTTATACATCTCCAGCTGTGGCTGGAGTATTGTGGTGGTGACTAGTGTCCAAAAGTTATGAGGGTCTGAATAGGTTCAATCCTAGCAACTTGAAATCGCTTTGGATATTTGACCCCCTGTGGTCTGCTGCTGTGTTATATTTGACTCTTGACAGTGTAGCACACCTCTGAACAGAGTTGACAATTTGGTGTACTTGTGGATTTACTGCTTCTACCTGCGAAGCAGGTTGTAGCCATGGTTAGGCTTTTTGCACAGATTCGCTTTGGACACCAATCATATCCATTCCTGGATCAGAAGGTCTTGGTCACTCATACCTTTGTCACTTCCCAGCTGGACTATTGAATCATTGGCCTTGAAAGCAATCCAAAAGTTACAATTGGTCCAGATTGAGGTGGTACATGCTGCACTGTATGTTCCAAGGTTTGCCCATAATAGACTGCCACTGCCTAGGCGACACTAATTCCCAGATTTTTTTCAGGTGCAATTCAAGGTGACAGCTACCACCTTTAAAGTCCTACATGTCATGGAGTCAGGCTGATTAGAGTGAGCAAGTTTTAGGTTCCTTCTCTTAAATATTGCCATTTACTGGTATCTAGGAACTGTGCCTTTTTTCCCCAGTAACGCCACTTTGTGAAACTTTCTTCCCCCAACATCTGGCAGGCCCCCACCTTCTTACCCTTCTAGAAGGCTCTTCTCCCCATGTGCTGGAATAGTGTGAATTTGAAGCCTGGAAATGAATGTTGGAAGAGGGTTTTTCTTGTACTGTTCTTTTTTTTACTGCTACTGAGTCACCCAGAACTGTATTTCATAAGTTGGGCAGCCATATAAATAAACTACAGTTACGAAATAATATGCAATTTTATCAAGAAAATAATTATA